GTACACCCTGACATCAGTTTGCATATTCTCCATACTGTTCTCTACATGTTTCCTAAGGTTGTGACAATGAGAATTTGTTTAACAGCCAAGAGCTTCTTTAGGTGCCGTTCATATACTCCTGGGGGGAGAGTTTTTCAGGGGATATTGTCAGGAGAAATTATATGCTAGTCATCCTCGGAGATCAAAGGCTAAACAAATAATTCCTAAAAAAATGCTTGGCCATGGCAGGGACATCCATCACGCCACACGCTTCCTCTCTAGAATTATTTTTGTATTCATTATCAAAAAGCATGTATTGAGAATGTGTAAGTTAGGAACAGTTCTTTGACCCTTTAAACCCTTGGTCAGGGTGACCAGCATCTAATTTCTCCTTACAGTAACACAATGCTGAATCATTCATTAATAGCATGAGAACAAAGGGAATGATTGCCAAACTAAGAAGCTCTGATTGTTGAATGAATTCTTCTTGTCAGCACCAAAGGAAATACATAGAAAGAGTATGGAGAATATGCAAACTGATGTAAGGGTTTTAAAGGGACAAGGCTATCAATCTAGTATTGTTTGAGAGGTATCAATTTTTTTTTAATTTAAACTGCAGCTTTTTGCCTGACTAACTTAATTTTTTTTTTTCAGTACTGGTTGTGGTAGAACAGGAACAATTTGTGCTGTGGATTATGCATGGTCTCTTCTTAAAATGCATGTGAGTACAAAACTACTTAGTGATAATACTGTATACACAGTAAATTCACCCACAGGGAAACTCTCTTCAGGTGTATTTTATATGGCAAGCTGAATTATTCAGGAATTTTTATTGATTCTTACTGCTGTGCTATTGGAGGACAGATGCAGCTTGGATGATGTCACCATTGGCGTATTGCTTTTTTTTTTATTTTGTAAACTAAATAGATTCCATATTTCTGTGAGTCTGTACAGTTATATACCATAACAGGTTACAGAAGATTTCCAATACTTTTAAGACAAAAAAAAAAGATAACAACTCAGCTGCACCTTACAAGTCGGTCATCAAAACTTTTAACACTTCCAATGAAAATAAAATGTTAAGGTCAACCTGAAAACAGTTTATGGATATTTGTATGAATAATTCACAATAAAAGCCTCTTCAATATTGCTTAGACAAGAATTTTATTGAAATTGTCAGTAGCTGTCTGTCTGTCTCTCAGCTCCTACAAGTGTCTGTGGACTTGTGCTTGTTGATTACTGAAAGAAAAATAATTATGGAAAACAATACTAGGAGTGGTACTCAAACTACACACTGTCTTAACCACATTTACAATTTTCCCTTACAGAACACCGCTAATTTTGGTGTGTATAACAATATAAGTAGCAGATCTCAGAAGGCAAAGGATGACTATGGCTCAGACAAAGGTACTTTATCATCACATTTAGTTCTTTGAACAGACAACATCTTGGGCTCATGTGTCCCCAACCTCTCTACCAAAAGAAATGTAGTAAATGTGTATTTGTAATTAGTCAACGCCTGCAAGGCTAATGATAATCTTGACAATGATGCATTTTTATAGCACATTTTTCATATGAATATGCTCTATTGTGCTTTACATTTTAACTTTGTTGGGGACTTTAGCCAGACTGTATTCAGCAGTTTTCAGTTTTTGAAAGGAAATTTGGCAAGTGTACCCAGTTTAGGAATTTTTGGAATCAAACAAGGTCAGACCACAACACTGGGGGCTACGTTCCTTACTCGTTACAAAAAATGCGTGAGTTCCCCCCTACTAACTTTCCTTGCAGACCTCAGTACAAAGCAGATGCAGGAGACAGAGCCTATTTATTCATCCTTAACCAAGAAGGCTAGAACTTTTAACCAATTTTCAGATTCCAAAGCAAGGGCGGCACATCCTCCTCAGTTACTTACGGACTAATGATTGTAGACTTTCAAAGTTAGAGAGCTCATAGAAGCGAACGTTTGAACCGGTGGCTTTTGTGGAGTTTAGTAAGTACTGTACGTAAAAAATTTCACAGCAGAGAAGCGGGATATTAGAAGAGAAACTTAGTACCTCCCTCTTAGTGTTTTTCCAGCTT